ATCGCTTAGTGCGTTCTCGAGCATTTCGTCCATGACGAAAACGAACAGGAATGGCGAAATAATGCATTTTAGGTGAACAACATTGCTCGATTCGAACGATCTACATAGCTCCCCGTATATCCATATACAAAAACAAGTATGCGAGCACAGTGATCGCAACAGGTTTATATACTTCCGAGGCATTCCCTTTCGAAGAAGTGAATCTATCAGAACTTGCGGTCAACTGAATTGGAGGCTATTCGAGGAATGGATGCAGGGTGAACACTTGGTTTAATGAAACCGCGACTTGGTTGGAATCCTACTAGCTGTTCGTGGATATGCATCTCTTTAAAGGTATCACATGTGGTGAAGTATCACTAGGTCGATGATCGGAACTAAACTTTTCCCGGGGTGGTTTGTGCGGTCATTGCGTGATCCTTTTTGGATATCGGAACGATCAGCGATTCATTTCAGGATAAAGAGATACGCCCTTTTGATCAAACTAGTAATGAAGTCGACGAGAGAGCAGCTCCATCCCCCTACCTTTAGCTTGAAAAGAATGGGGAAAAGCTTATCACGTCCCGCTGCCTTTCCTTTCTTTCGCGATTGAATAAAGCTTGGTACTTCTAGCTCTGTTGGAGGCTCGCACGTTACCGCTCATGCGGTTTTCGCTGCAATCGCCGGAATAACCGCACCGGCACTAGGCCAGTTGCCCTGTTCACTGAGATATTCTGCCCAGCGATCAAGCCGTTCTTTATTGTGGATACTCTGCCCCATTTCATCTCAGATGGTTTTGCTGACCTGTATGAAACGACCACCGGTGCTGCGCATAAGGTGAAAGTCTGACTGTTCCCTGATGCAGAGGCTACTTTTATTTCACCAGATACTCTGACCCACCTACTTTTAATATCCTTCTTAAGGCTTAAAACGTTGCGGACGTCACCAGTTCATGGTGATCCATGCAGATTGAGATCTTTCACTGACTCTTGAGAGATTCAGTGTCTTCGACCAACTTCCGGTTCGGTCTCACAAGCAAAGCTTGCTGCTGAGTGCATCGCACACCTAACGTGATTCCACCGTTGATTTACTTCACCACCTCGCGGTGCTTCTAGCTCCTGTCCAAGCTTCTGCTCATAACATGCGCCGAACAGATAGCTTCAGTTTCAAATTTTACAACCATTAACCACGCACTTTCGTGTGCCGGTTTTGGTCGCTGTCTTTTGGCCGCCCATTTGGATGAGAGAGCAAAGTGAAGATTGGAATGTTGAGAGCAAACTCAAGGGGAAGACAGAGAACTCATACAGACTGGGGTTGCAAGAATATCGAGTAAATGCATGAGCCCCATTGCTTGCGACACCCAACCACTCAGTGTTCCTAACCATCGGTTACCATGATCCCGGGGTCCCTAGTCTCCTGGTTAGGATTTTCATACCCTATTATGCCCGGTCTAAGTTTGACCGCCCTTGACCATTTTTCCATTTGATAACTGAACAGATAGATCGCGCAAACAATGATGAGCTAACCGAGGAGGCGATCTTGGTCGATGGACAACGAACTGAAGCATGAAGCACATCAGAACCAGTGTGCGATTTAACTCAACGCAGGTGGTCTAATAGGATCGGCAATTTTGCATTGAGTTCGAACATGAACCTAACCTAAGGTAAGGTGGAGTGAAAGTATATCTTTCCGGATCAATCATTCATCCATCACTTTTTACTAACCGAGACGCCAATTCGGGTCGAACCACCTACCAGGACTAGCAGACTGGATGATGATTGACCTTTACCCTTCGACCTTCCAGTTTGTCTGATCTCTAACTACTGACCTTTCAGGTATGACTGGATTCGCGATACACCCTATACAGCCAATAGGGTCATGGCGGCAGGTAAGCCAATACACGAGGTCAAGGGTCAGTCGCGTCGTGATGAAGTACTCAAGTGCCTTCAACTGCCGATCCACGAGCTTCAAAGGAGTAGTGGACACCCAGTTCGGTGACATTACTTTGTACTTTGACGGAGCAAAACACACTGAGTATGGCAATAGAATTTGTTAATCTCTCAAGTGCGCTTTGTGAATAGTCCATTTAATCTAACAATGACGCTGTCAACATACTCGAAGCGCATCTTTCTCATCAATTCAATGCCAACGTTTCGGAGAACTCTTAATGCATTCCCCTAAATTTCTCGAGATGAACCAAGCATAAATGGCAAACTGACATTCCTAAAGAACACGTTAGTCGATCCATCTCGTCAAGTCATGTGATGAGAGCAACCGTTCGATACGCACCAACTTAACTCATCGATAAATGGGCCAACATCACAATGATATCAAGGTAGATATTTCGTTCCAAGAACATCCCCAGATGGCAAAGGCAGTGAATTGGTTGTCACCTACAGCCTCAAGGTTTTCTCGAGGGCAAACATTCACTGGATCATTCTTTCCAGAAATCTATGTAAATTCGATCCATAACTCGTCCTTTGTTGAGTTATAGTCATACAGTTTATATGGTTGTTTTATATTCTTCAACCCGTTACTCAATGTTAAACCTGCAAACTTGTTTAGATTAATTTGAATGAAACAAGTAACAACATGAGCAGAATCGATATTGGCCATCAATTTCACGTGCTCTCAATCAGCTGTCTACGCACATTAAATACGTCGAGTTTTATAAGAAGAATACCATATATGGGTATTTACATAATTACATGGGTTCAGACAGAAAGCATTGGGGTATTGAGTCATTACCAAAGTCATTTGCGTATGGGTGAAAGAGGAGTAGGGGATGTTAACGTAGAAACAGTTACGTAATGGTAATTGATTAGCCGTGGTCGTAGGAGCGCTGAACATAAACACGTAATACGAAAAGGATACAACCAGAAAAGAATTCGAACAGACGTAGAAAGTTCACGACGTGAAAAATGGGTCAATTAAGTTATTGACTTTGACTGGCTGCGCTACAATCTCGTGTTATCACACCTCAACAAATTTGAAGGATTTTTGTCATTACTATGGCCTTTGTTCGTCGATATACCAGATCGGAACTACTTCTACTCAAACACTAACGGATTCACATCACGATTTGATTTAACCACAACCAATTCTCTCGGATTTCGGAATTCACGCAAAAAGCACAACCGGACCGGATGGCAAGTTGCTCTTAACTGCACCCCTCCGTCAAAAATGTCCGTCCCATCACTACTGAATACGAACATACGTTCATTGTTCACGAAAATCTCGGATTTATCACTTGTTCTCCGTTCCCGGATTCACGTTCATACTTGTCTGATTTGCATACAAGAATCTTGGCTGAACCCTCATGTTGCTGACGCGTTAGTGTCCATTGACGGATTTAACCTGTACCGGCAGGACAGGGAACCATGTGGCAAGAAATACGGTGGTGGTGTGTGGTTACTTACGTCAACATTTC